ATTGTGATATGAGTTGTATGAGCCCCCAATAAAAATGATTTTTTTAAATTACCTATAATAAATAAATTTTTATTTAAAAAATAGACCAACTGTTTACGGGAATAGAAAGCCCAGTTTCTCTCCTGAGAAGCTACTGGCACGTTTGAACTGCTGACCATGCATGGATCACAGCCCAACTTCTAACCACCGTGTGCCAATTCTGATATGGTTGACAGAACACAGCAAGAATGCAAGGCTGGTCTGACATATTAAAATCAATCAATGCACTACAGTAGTCAAGTAGAGGACCACGGGGGGTGGGGGGGGCACTAATTACAACACAGAAAAATCATTGGACAAAATCAAACACTCTTGATTTCAGGGCAATAAGGGAACAAGAACACTGACGAGGTTGTCACTCCCCAGAATAACCAACCAGCCAAGATCCAGAAGGCAGCACTAGCCCAGGGCAAGGTTCAGAGGGTTAGGAAGGAGGAGGAATGGAAACAGGAAAACAAAGGGCAGTCGTGGATTACACGATGGTGGGCTTGATTAAACCTCCAACCCTAAGTCACAGCACCACCGGGGCACAAGTCCCTTAGAAATGACTATCTTGTACATGGTGAGGGTTGCAACCAATGGCATGAAACAAAATGGTGCTCTGTTCTCACTGAGTTTACAGTAAAAAGTTAAAAATAATGTGATGAAATATAGTGTAGTCATGGCATATTTCATCAACAGAAAAAATGCTTCTATCAATGGTGCTTCACACAAATAGCATGGCACTCACATGCAAAAGAAATGCGTTTTACACAATTGATGTGTGTATGGATTGCGATAACAGTTGTATGAGCCCCTAATAAAATGTTTAAAAATTAAATAAATACATAAATTTTTTAAAATTGAGAAAAAAATAATAAAAAAAATTTTTTTAAGTTTTAAAAAAATTAAAAAGAGAGAAATGGGGCATGAGGCCCTGAGGTTCACCAAAGCACAGCCTTCCGGCAGCAAGGCAGCATCCACCCCACCCGTTCTCCCCTAGCGCTCAGCTCCCTGGGGACGGGCTGTGTGAGACAACACTTCAGATATCAAGACGCTGCCATCCAGCAGCACTCTCCCAGGCCCAGACCTGCTGCTGAGGGTCACTGTAACATGGGTGGGAAACGTCCAAAAAATCATCACACCCTCATCAAAGAGAAGACATTCTGGCCATCACATTATACACAAAGCATACAAAAAACTCACTGCCATCGTGTCAGTGCCAACTGTATTGACTCTAGAGACAGGACAGAACTGCCTCTGAGTTTCTGAGACCGGAACTGTTTACAAGTAGAAAGTCTTTCTCCCAAGAAGCAGCTGATGGATTTGAACTGCCCACCTATGGACCACAACCCAATGCATAACCACCTACACTACCAGAGGTGAGTTAATTATCTAGCCAAATATAGCAGGTTAAGGCTTTAAGTTCATAATTTTGTAGGACCCACCAATGATATTACAAATATCCAAATGGGCCCTGGCAGAAGAAGAGGTTTCTCATCCCACTGTAGAAGAAAGACCACGCATCCTCCTCTTGGGAAGTCTGTTTATTTTCTTCATCAGCAGATTACTGTTGATTACTGTTGTGATTTCCAGGGGTGGGTTT